CGCTCTGCCACGTTGAAGACATTGCTACAGGATGCATGGGACTCTATACCTTCAGAGGAGCTATTGTCACTAGTTGGCAGCATGCACGAAAGATGCGTAGCAGTGATAAAGGCAAATGGAGGGTACACAAAGTATTAGGATGGAGAAGACACACAAAACACGTAGTACGCTTTCATTTTAATAGCGAACCTTACTGAGGGCTTCAATGTAGACTTCTGTAATAAAGAGCAATAATTTTTGAAATAGAAATGCATTTTTAGAGAATATCAATTGAGCTTTTTCAATTTTGAATTTCAACTGAGGACCATTGTACTTTTCCAATCGAGTTCAAAACCATCCCCATAATTTAGACTTTCACGGAATATTATTGGATAGTACCCCTTGCTTGCATAACTAGTCGAGTAACTAGACATGGGCCTGCATGAAGATCATACCAATTAAGACAACATTGACAGGGATTTAATCCCTGTCATTTTGGCAATTTTACCTTTGTCACCCATAAGAGACTGTATAGAGGGACTTCTCGCCTCACATAAAGAATTACAGCAATTTCTTTACAATTAACTGGTACAAAGTGCCCCCCTGGTGAACCAGTAATGGACATCCCACCATCAAATTAAAGAAACCCCAATTAGAATGGAAAAGATAAGTTGTATTTAAATAGTCTGTCCTACATAGTTCTAAACTCAAATAGGACATAAATGGATTATTATTATTTACAATTAACTATTCATTAAACATCAGTAGACTTCGTCGTACATTAAACAAACTCATCATAACTCTAACTCATCCTCATACTTGGTATGTCATTCTTACAATTTCCGGAACCATTCTAATTATATTCGCTTCACAGATTGAATTATCGCCATACAAGCTGTACTTTCACTTTTGCCTATTCTACGCCGTGACACCTGGAGTTATGTTATGTTGTGATTTCTATTTTTATATGGCTGCATGTAATTTAATTAGCTAATATTTGAGTAGCGGTTCACATGGTGGGAAAAAGTTAGGCATGTCATATATATGATCTTAGCTGTAAACCCCGGTCTTTGAACCTCAGGGGAAAACGGGTATATCCTAGGACTTAAAAATAAAAAACAAACAAAAATAACCCGTGCTATCGGCAAAGGAAGTGGCATCAAGCACGGGGGAGAGGTGCTAGATGCAGAGATAACAGGAGCAAAGGAGGCTCTGGAGGCTGCACTGGAATTTACGGAGGAAGAACAGTGAAGGAAAGTAGGAGGGTCGCAGCAAATCCACGTGTTTCTAGACAGACAGCAGGCTGTAAGCGCATTAACGACAGGCTCGTCCTCAACCAGCCTAGAAGATGTGCACAGCTTCCGTGCAGTAAGTAACTTGGCAAAAGTAGTGGTAAAATGGGTGCCAGGGCACGCAGGGATACAAGGGAACGAGGAGGTAGACACCATTGCCCGTGCCGCTCTTCGAGAGTTACCTAGCCCGGATACGCAACCAGGATCCAGTACTCTGGCACATCTTCGAGGCCTCATGAATCGCAGACGACAGAGGCTGCTAGACGACTGGTGGGAAGAGGCCTGTCCGCCTCAATACCGCCAACTCGACCTACAGGTGCGGAGACGCAAACCACCCGAACTGTCTCTCTCTAGGCACCTCCTCCGGACACTAATCGCAGCACGAACAGGTCACGGCAATTTTGCGGCATACCATCGCCGTTTTAATAATCCATATGCTCCTATGGAGTGTTCTTGCGGGAAGGAAACTACTCCAACCCACTTCATCCACTGTAGCCGTCACGCACAACAAACGTGTAGGCTCAGAAAGTCAATGTCCCATGTTGACTTTATCAAAAAACTTCTCGGGCCCAAGTGCCACGATAGCTTCAAAAAATTTGCGCAGGAAACCGGCTGTTTTGAAAGACGACCTGCTCACTCATCCAATGCTCTCAGCGGGGATCAGATAAACTAGTCATTGTCACAACGCATGACACGAAAGGGAACGAGGCGAGAAGTGTCGTTTCTCAGAGGAAAATTTCATGTACTTAAATTTAGGGTTGAAGGATGGAGTCTCGATTTCGGAGTAGGTGGTGTCTTCTGAGTTATAATTTACCTTCTACTTTTTCTGTAGCGGGTCTTGCAGTTGGAATGAGTTGGGAGAGGGCAAGACTGAACACCTGTGCGAGGTGTCCTCTGCGAACCTGGGAGTGAAATATTCTCCCAGAGCCAAGTTCAGTCAAATTTCGCAATACCAAAGAAGTTGGTCCACTAGGCAAAAATTCATATTACTCCTCCACGTCGTTTTTTCGCACCCAACGAGTTTGACTTCTACCTAAGTCTCATCAATTCTGCAAGTACGACCTAGTACATCCTCATTCCAATGATCACACCACTCCTCGACCTTCTCTGGTCTCAGTTGACCACCATGTACACGCCCACGCCGATATTTACAACCCCAGGAGGAAGCAAAGCGTGGCGCACAAATCTGGAAGACAGTTCTTTGGGATGGAGGTGAGAGGAATCAGGACAAGTTGACAAGATGATGCGGGGGAAGGATATAACTTCGAATGGCATGAGATTCCAAATTTTGGCAAGGAGTTTTTCGAATTGGGCTTTGTGCGCGCCAAGGCTTCGCTTGCGAGAGTACAGCTGACACTATTTTTTTTTTTGCATCAGATTTCAATTGCGTGTGCAGCTATCTAGCTATGACACAATATCAAAGAAAAGTACAGAATAGATGATTCAACGTGTGGGAAGAGCACTCATGCCTCGGATTTCTTTTGCAAGTACCACTGCGAAGTTATGGCGGCTTTTTCTTCACCCCAAGTCAACCCTCATCCGTGAATACCCACCCAGGGGAACGTCTCAAAAACCCTGAGTTATCCAGACATGCCTCCATCATCTTTCAACTTTTCTCCGCGCGATATGTGATCTGAGATGTCTCCTTCCCAAGTGGAGTGGGTGCCCAGGCTACTCAAACCATACCAGAGAACACCACCAGGAGGCGGATCACTACACCTTCCATCGTCTGCTTGTTTTTATAGTGTGAGCTGCACTCTCGCAAGCGAAGCCTTGGCGCGCACAAAGCTCAATCCGTAAAACTCCATGCCAAAATTCGAAATTTCACGCCCGTCGAAAACGTATCCCTCTTCTGCATCATCTTGTAAATTTGTCCTGATCCCTCTCACGTCCATCCCAAAGAGCTATCTCTCAGATTTGTACTCCACGCTTTGCTTCCTCCGTCGGGTATAATTAACGGCGTGGGCGTGTATTTGGTGACCGGCTGAGGCCAGAGAAAGTCGACGAGAGGTGTGGTCATTGAAACGAGGATGTACTATGTCGTACTTGTAGACTTGATGAAGCTTAGTTGAGAATCGGACTCTTTGGGAGTGAAAGATTGACATGGTGGAGTAATTCGAATTTTTGCCTCGTGGGCCAACTTCTTTGATATTGCAAAATTTGACTGAACTTGGCTCTGGGAGCATATTTCACCCCTAGGTTCGTAGAGGACACCGCGTACAGGTGTTCAGTCTTGCCCTCCAGCTGACACTATAAAAAAACAAGCAAACGATGGAAGGTGTTGTGGTCCGCCTCCTGGTTGTCACGGTCTAGATAAAAGATTGCTGAATCGAGGTCTGGATATTTCTGCCTGAAGGTTCCGAGTCCGCTGGGGCAAGCATGTATGGGGCTTAATGGCATATTTGTTTATCTAGATTAGATTTTAGTTCATGTAGACCTGATTCACAAGGCTGGATTCTCAACAGCGCTAGTATTAGGGTCTCGCTTGTCATGCACAAATAGAGTGAAGCGCGCACTAGATATAGCCTGTGTCACGTTCAGTTAATTAAACCTAACCTATACCCACTAGACTTTGTATCACCTTGACATCGCACCTCGCTTCCCCCACAACACTGGTGGTGTTCTCTGGTATGGTTTGAGTAGCCTGGGCACCTACTCCACTTGGGAAGGAGACACCTCAGATCACATATCGCGCGGAGAAAAGTTGAAAGATGATGGAGGCATGTCTGGATAACTCAGGGTTTTTGAGACGTTCCCCTGGGTGGGTATTCACGGATGAGGGTTGACTTGGGGTGAAGAAAAAGCCGCCATAACTTCGCAGTGGTACTTGCAAAAGAAATCCGAGGCATGAGTGCTCTTCCCACACGTTGAATCATCTATTCTGTACTTTTCTTTGATATTGTGTCATAGCTAGATAGCTGCACACGCAATTGAAACCTGATGCAATAAAATAAAAGATGAAGTCCATGTACTGATAGTCAGGTCATGTGACCTGACTAGCTTAGGTTGCATGAGTAGGTGAAATAGTTCTCCTTGACAGACTTTTAGTGCTCAAAATGTCTCACGCGAGATCATGGCGCACTTAGCCCGCAGGGTGATATGTTATTTCTTGTCGGTTTCATGTCGCTTTGGATGCTGGTGATAGTTAGGTTGACACGTTGGGAGTGAAAAATCTACGTGTTTGAGATATTTGGATTGTTGCCTCGTGAGCCAACTACTTGAGAATAGCGAAATTTGACTGAGCTTGGCTCTGGGAGCATATTTCACCCCTAGGTTCGCAGAGGACACCGCGTACAGGTGTTCAGTCTTGCCCTCCCTGTGTTAGCGTTGTTTACTGCTGTTAATAGGGGATCTGACACGGGCTACACATTGGGATTAAAAGAAGTCTGGTACTTGTGTTTGGAAGAGTAGTTGAATTGACATCCTTTTATCCTTCATGATTGCATAAGCTTCCCTCTACCAATAAGTCCACAAACTAAGTAGTGGGTTATACATTTCATTGTTTGAGGTCATTATTTCCTTAATATATTCTCTATGAACAGTATACTATCATCCCTGTGACTCCATTTCCTCAGTCTCCTCATATAAGTTGCACATCTGTAGTTATTTGAATGCATGTGCTCTGCAACTTCTTTCACTGAAGGCTCATTATTTTCTTCATAAATTACATATCCCTAATAGACATGCAAGATCTAGCCTAGTACGAGGGGTATTCCAAGGCTATGTTCTTCATCTTGTCCCATTGCCAACTTCCTTTGCTAGACGCCGCTTTAATTTGAATATAGTTCCTTGTCTGATTGCTTTTGTATATTTTATATAAGCGCATTGTTTCCATTCCTTTTTAATTTTTTCATGGACGCGGAAGGTTGGAGTATCATCAATTAATTGAAATATGTATTTTACGAAGACTTTTCACCAAAAATAATGGTTAACGATGGCAACTTCGGTGGAAGAGATACCTTACAGTTTTCCTTTTGCATCAGTGTTCCTCGAAATGTCTTGTAAAATTGGCCGTGAGGATTTGTAGGATCGCCGGATTTCACATTTTTCAGATCGTAATCTTTAATTTTCATTTCTAGGAAACTCAGGTAAAATAATTGGTTGTGACTACATTTAAAATAGTCTTCTCCAAGTGCAACATGCGTTAGTGACAAAAGGCCAACTAGTGCGGCCGTGGAGGCAGAGATGAGAAACTTCATAGGGAGTATGGTGTTCTGATGTAGCCGAAATTTGGACTTCAAATAGGAAGTCGCTCGATATTATCACCAAGATCCGATGGATAATTGATGACAAGATTTCTTGGTGTTCCTGATGGAGATGTGGTGATAATGCTCTGCGCCAGTGTCTCTGTCGACGGAATCAAATGAGTGTTGGTTGATTATATGGACGATGTTTAGAATATGGACTCTGATTTACTTCTATTTTCGAAAAATCCACCTTACGTATCCTTGTGTGCTTTCTAAAATATCTGACGCAGTAGCTCCCGAGTCCTGATCCATGGCAATCTTTAGCAATTGATTCAATCAGCCAAGCTATGCCAATGTGGCTTATACTTCAGTGGATATTTGACTAAAACACAATCATAATTCTACCAGCAAAGGTGAGTCATTTTCCCTAATTATGAAGCCGGCTTGGTAGACCTATCCTACCTTCCATATATCGCAAGAGCACAGTTGATACTGTAGGCATGTGATATTTGTTGCAATGCCTGGTTTATTGTAGATATCTCTTGCGGCGGTCCATCTTTCTAGAATCTGTGGGCTACACTGTTTGATGCCCTTTACTAGATCTCTGCCGCTTAATAGTTAAATCCACCATTTGTCAGATTTTTCTGGAACGGCAAGTTATCGGCACATTTTGGCAGTGGTGAACTATGTAGATGTTGTCAATTGTTTTACCCTGACAGTAAATTTTAGTGTAAAGCCATCGTATTCTGTTCGACTAAGATTAGTACGACTGAATCAATTACACGATGGGGAGTTGTAACATACTCATGCCAAAGGCCAAAGACAGAGCTTCTACGCGTACTGTCCCCTATGTACTCGGGAGTGAAATATTCTCCCAGATCAAAGTTTCGTCAATTTTAGTAATAACGAAAAAGTTAGATCACAGCGCAACGACTCAAGACTCTATGTGAAACCAGATGTACACTAAGAAGGGTCATCCTTGATCCAAGTTGCATTATGACAAGGGGAACATGATCGATGTTACAGAAATCCCGTACATGTGGTCCGTGTGCGTTAATGTGGATCATGAAAAGATCTACAAATTCATGGGTGGAACAGATTTTGAATGTACGGCACATGCAGTGTCATATGGGGGGAGGGCAAGACTGAACACCTGTCAGTGGTGCCCTCTACGAACCTGGGAGTGAAACATTCTCCCAGAGCTAAGTTCAGTCAAATTTCGCAATATCGAACAAGTTGGCCCACGAGGCAATAATTCAAAAAACTCAACCACGTCAAATTTTCTTTCCAAAAAAGATCGAATCATACCTAAGCCTCATTAAGTCTAGAAGTACGACCTGGTACATCCTCATTCCAATGACCACACCTCTCTTCGAATTTCTCTGGCCTCAGCCGGTCACCAAATACACGCCCACGCCGTTAATTATACCCGACGGAGGAAGCAAAGCGTGGAGTACAAATCTGAGAGATAGCTCTTTGGGATGGACGTGAGAGGGATTGGGACAAGTTCACAAGATGATGCAAAGGATGGATACAGTCTCGACGGGCGTGGAATTTGGCAAGGAGTTTTTACAAATTGAGCTTTGCGCGCGCCAAGTCTTCGGTTGCGAGAGTGCAGGCGACACTATGAACTCCGTTATGGTTGGATAGTGCGGTGGTACATCGTCTTGTCTTGTCTTAATCATTTACGTGCTAGGTAAAGTGATTCCTGCTGCACTCCTACTAAGCTTAAGTACGGATGGGGCCGGGCTGGATCAGGTTAACTACCGTAAAGTACATCTTCCTCGTCCTCTCTGAATGACCGGACTACCTCAGATTTCACCCATGTGTTGAATCATGGCATGCCCAACCGTTCAGAGAAACCTACTTTTGACGCGCCCGAACCCTTGACATCCTCATTGACTCCGAAATATTAATGCCGTCCAAGATCTCATTGTTGCTCTAGCCTTGCACCTTCATATCGTATCGTTGGGTTATTGTTGTCATTGGGGATTTGTGCGATCCCCTCAGTGTATATTCCCTTTTCTTCCTCCTTTGTACAAGTCCCGTTTCCAGCATAACTTTCCTCATTACGGCGTGTGTAGGTAGGTGATCGGACGAGTATGGAAGTGGGTCGCAGGTATAGGATCGACTGAGAAATGCTTCGTCGCAAGTAGAAAAGGAGTTTGAGAGGTGTCGGATGTTTGAATAGGACCCCCAGACAGACCTAGGCCCATCCGTCAATCGTATGTTGGTGGTGATGAGTTTTTGTTCAACTTTGTTCCGGCTATGAAATATCTGCCGATTGATTTTTCGACTAAAATATCGAGTGCAACTCCTTCAAGTCGAAAATCCATCGAAAGAAATTCATCCCACCCTTTTTCGTGACTGAGTCTCGGCTCTGGGGGAATTTTTCGCTCCCAGGTTTGTAGAGGGCACCACTGACAGGTGTTCAGCCTTCGCCCTCCGATTTAAGGGCTGTTTGTTTTTTTTTTATATACATTCGGTCCTAAGCTAAAGCTATGTTTTCCACATTGGGTCAAGGACCGGCGGATCCGGCAGAGTTCCCTGTAACTTTTCCTACAGCCTAACTCGTTCCAACCTCGTGAATCGCTACCAAAAGTGCAGCTGATTGAACAAGAACGAAAAGTCACAAAAATCAAAACAACTCCGAATACCAGAAGATTTCTCCATATTGGACCCAGTAAATGCGCTCCTCACACATTCCCTCGTCCGTCACACCTTCCAAATGACAAAATTTATTCAATCTCCGCTGAGAGCAAGAGATGAGTTAGCAGGCACCTTTGATCCAGCCGGTATCCTGCTATTGGTTAGTAGATGCCCCAAAAGGATACATCGTCGAGGCTGCTGTGTCCTCAAACTTCTTCTTCAGATCCCAGGGCTCCGAAACCTGTTGCCTCGGCCATCGAGACATCCTTCGCCGCGGCGATGATCGCCTCTTCGGCCTTTTTTGCTGCAGCCCTGACTCGTGCCACCTTCGCGAAATCCCCTTGTTCGGTGTGGCGAGTCCACGCGAGCTGCTCTTTGGTCACCGGTCCAGACTTTCTGGGTCTGACTTGGCAGGCCCGAGAATCCGATCGATGAGGTCCCCCACAGTTGCGACAGCGTGTGAGGGCCTTGCACTCTGTTTCGGAGTGCATATTTGATCCGCAGTTCCAGCAAGCCGGAGCGCGGGAGCAACCACGGGTGGCGTGGAAGCCCAAACAGCGTTTGCACTGTTCAATTGATCGACGAGGCTTATGGATGGTAGCCATACCAGAATCGTCGAAAAGGCGGAAGCCCGCACGAGGGGCTTCGTCCCGGTGAAAAAGGGCATGCCAGTTTCGATAAGGCGATCCAGCCCGACATGTCCCATGAGGTCGGACCTGGATTGGATACGCGCTGGTCGTAAGGAAGATCTCAGCGGTGATACTTGCAGCATCGGTCGCTACGGGGCCGTACTGTGAAACGATACTTACAGGTACGTTCGGTATCTGTAAGGCAACAAGATCCGAAGATGCTTCGAGTTTGGCGTTTTCACTTGCCAGCTTCGGAGAGATATCTAGGATCTCTTGTCGTATTTCTCGTTCTTTGCTATAATAGCAAAGCCGGTCTTTACTCGATGAATCGAGGTTATATCATTGTAAGAGAGATTAAGCGTGTCTGCTACCTTACTTTTCACAATGTTGTTTGAAAGATTCCGCCATGGGTGCTCCTTTTCCAGCCGAAGGAACAGTCGTTTATCGACTTTCGCCTTGGGAGCTTCTTTCTTTTGGGCTCTCGCCGCAGGTCGCGGCACAGCCTTTGCTATAGGAGCTGCATTTTGTCACAGTCCATTTTTGGCCACCGTGGCCTAGGTGCCTTTTACAGGCAGCACTGGGACGGCGGGAGGTGTATTGCTCCTGGCTTCTGGAGCCCTTGGGGTCGGGTTCGCAGGGCGAGGAGGGAGGACGGGTGGCGTAGTGGCCGGGTCCGTGGCCATGTATTGCGCAATGGCGGCGCGTAAGTAGACTCTCATGGAGTCTACGAATTGTCTATTTGACCCGTTGGTCAAAGGGAGGAGGGTGGCTTCGACGCCAGAGATGGCGGCGGAACAGAGGGCCAGATTTGCCGCTGTTTCGGCGGCGCGTCGTTGTTCGGCTTCAAATATTGGTCGAAGTTCCGGAGGGCACTCTGCTTTTGTGGCAGCTTTGGGCTGCGACGTTGATTTTGACGCTGCTTTGGGTGCAGCGTTCTCCGAGGGTATTTGCGTGGTCGGAGGAGGTTTAGAAGATCATCCAATCCCGTGGGGGACGGAGGGTGGTTGAGGAATTTCCTCAACAATTTCGACTGACCCGATCATGTCAGTATCGGGCTCAGTGACTGTTGGGAGGGCTTTTTCCTTCCCTTTAGTAGAGACCTTGCTTGTCTCCGCACATTTCGGAGACTGGGCAAGGCCAGGTAATTGTTCGAGAGCCCTCGGGTGGACTCTCGTGTTGTCCAACTTGGCGTTGGGACGCTTTTTGCGGACTGGAGGCATGGTGAAAATGCCTGAGCTCGACCACAATTCAGAGATGGATGCAACGAGGTCGAGAAGGGAGAAAAGAGGTAAAAAATGGATTTCCGAATTTTCGAATTTCTCGAATTGTGCGTTTTGTTTGTTCTTTAATGTGCTAGGTGAAGTAACTACCGTCGCACTCCTACTGGAGCTTGAGCACGAGTGGGGTCGGGCCGGATCAGGTTAACTACCGTGCAGTACAAATGCCTCGTCCCACCTAAATGACCGGAACCATGCCAAAATGCATCTATGTGTTTTTTTAATTAATTTATTTTATTGTCCTGTCTGAGTCTATGACTATGTAGGAAATGCAGGTCCTCTCTGCCTACAGGCCAAGGATACCTATACCAGTAGTATATCCCCTCCTATGCCTCCCAGACAGCTCCCCTCAAACAGTACCACCCCTCACAAGTCCTCATTCAATCATACACTTAGAGGAGCCCTTAGCCCTTCATTATCTCCCCTCTCCAGCCAACGAAACGATGGCCATTTGCGG